CGTCGACTTCTGCCTCCCCGTCGACTTCTGCCACTTCTGCCTCCCCGTCGACTTCTGTCTCCTTGTCGACGTCTGTCACGTCATCGAAGTTTCCCTTCTTGTCTGCCCCCGGGTAATAGAACCAGAACTCTCCGTAGACGCCTGTCACCTTGTAGAATTTTGTCAAGCCGTCGACGAACCGCAACTCTATGTTGAAGTCTGCCTCCTTGTAGAATTCTGTCTCGTCGTCGACTTCTACCTCTCCGTCAATGTCTGTCTCCTCGTCATCGACGTCTGTCTTCTCATCGACGATTGTCTCCTCGTCGACGACTGTCTCCTCGTGGACATCTGTCTCCTCGTGGACATCTGTCTCCTCGTGGACGACTGTCTCCTCGTGGACGTCTGTCTCCTCGTCGACTTCTGTCTCCTCGTGGACGTGTGTCTCCTCGTCGACTTCTGTCTCCTCGTCCACGTCTGTCTTCTCGTCGACGATTGTCTCCTCGTCGACGACTGTCTCCTCGTGGATGTCTGTCTCCTTCTCGACGACTGTCTCCTCGTTTACGTCTGTCTCCCCGTCGACTTCTGCCTCCCCGTCGACTTCTGCCTCTCCGTCGACTTCTGCCTCCTCGTCGACTTCTGTCTCCTCGTCGACTTCTGCCTCCCCGTCGACTTCTGTCTCCTCGTGGACGTCTGTCTCCTCGTCGACGACTGTCTCCTCGTGGACGACTGTCTCCTCGTGGACGTGTGTCTCCTCGTCGACTTCTGTCTCCTCGTCGACTTCTGTCTCCTCGTTTACGTCTGTCTCTCTGTCGACTTCTACCTCCCTGTCGACTGTCTCCTCTCCGTCGACTTCTGTCTCTTCCTCTACCTCCTCTATTACCCTCTCTGGCCTCACCTCTTGTTCTACCTCCTTCATTGCTCTCTCTGGCCTCACCTGATCGTCTAAAACTTCAGGTGATGTAAGCAACCCATCTAACTGAGGCGTTGTGTTGTCAGTGGAGACAGATGGTTCTGCGTTAAGTTCCTCCCTGACCTCAACAACAACCTGCTCATTCACATTTAGAGCTTGGAAGAAATTAAAGTTTTGAATGCCGACAGAGTCTGACAAGAAGTTCATAAAACTCTTCATCTTCCCATTGGCCTGCAATTGCCTCATAAAAAACTCCAATTGGCCTTTGAGTTCAGCTGCTTCCTCAAGCTTAGCTTCCATGCTCTTCACAATTCGGTCTTTTCTCAAGTTTTCACCTTCTAATTTCTGGTTTAACGAGGAGAGGAGAGCAACTTTTTCCTCCAGCGCGCAAATTTTAAGTTCATATTCCTGCTTAAGAACTTCGGGCTCCCTTTCCTTGTTGACCCTCTCTAAATCCTGCGGCCGGGATTGTGTTTGTGTGACAGCCGTCACTTCTTCCACCTTGTCCTCTTCCTCTTCCTCCTCCATTGCCTCTTCCTCTTCCTCCTCCATTGCCCTCACTGGCCTCACCTCTTCCTCTGAATTTTGGTCCACCTCCTCCGATGTCGTCAGAAAGTTCGCTGGACTCCATGACTCTTCACTATTACTTGTTCCATCCTGCTCCATAATTGTCCATCTTCTCCTGCTGGCGGCGCACTTCCTTTTATTGTTCAGTGTATTCATTTGAGCATCGTACTGTGCGCTCAGGTCCCTGCGCACGTCCTGGTAAATAGTACACAGCTCGCTGAGTTGAAATTTGAGCTCCGCGATCTCTCTATTTTTCCTGACCTCGGCCCACAGCGCATCGATCTGGGCCCGATTGGACTCACACGCTTCGCAAGTCCGAGGTCTGGCCACGTCCTGCATTTCTGATGACTCGGCCATTTTATAGGATGTAGACGGGTCGGTGGCTGTGTTCTTCATCGCAAAACGTTGTATAGCGTAAAAGATAAACAGTCAAATAACTAGCTCTCACTAACGTTCAGCTCTTCTGCCTCTTGTCAAAATCTGAAAAAATGACGCGAGTGTCCAACACTTACAATCTTTCTTTGAGTTGTATATTTCAAAGCTTTGAAATATTGCCTAGCAACAAAGAGTTCCATGACACCGGGGGTGGGGGGGTGAGGGGGTTCTAAGGGTTGCCACGGCGATTCTAGAACCACACGACTGCCATGTTGAAATGAGAGCTTTAAATCAGATTAAAAATGCCTTAATTTGCAATAAAAATTCATTCCGCTTTAAAAAAAGACCATGTAAACACTTCATCCCTCATGTTTATTTGGTTTAGTCCCGGTCTAGTGTCAGTCTAGTCCTTGTTTAGTCTCGGTCTAGTCCTGATTTAGTCTTGGTCTAGTCCTGGTTTAGTCCCGGTCTAGTCATTAAAAGATCAGATACAGGTCACATAGGGGCCAAATTTTATTTATTTATTTATATTTTTTTAAATTTTATTTATTTATTTATTTGAGACAGGGACAGCGCACAATCTTCGCATTAACCTTGACAGGAGAGATGCATTGTACATCAGGTTGTAGCATCAGTGCTAATTTCCACCTGTCGTCCCTGGACAGGTTCACTGATTGATTGTATTTAACTGACCATGATTATGAACTGTTCTGGAGACCTGTAGCATGTTTTGGGTTGATGGGGGAAATCGGAGCACCCGGAGGAAACCCATCCAGACACGGGAAGCAAGAAGGTTCTGGGTTCGATCCCCAGGTCGCCCAGGGCCTTTCTGTGTGGAGTTTGCATGTTTCTCCCCGTGTCTGGATGGGTTTCCTCCGGGTGCTCCGATTTCCCCCATCAACCCAAAACATGCTACAGGTCTCCAGAACAGTTCATAATCATGGTCAGTTAAATACAATCAATCAATGAACCTGTCCAGGGACGACAGGTGGAAATTAGCACTGATGCTACAACCTGATGTACAATGCATCTCTCCTGTTAAGGTTAATGCGAAGATTGTGCGCTATCCCTGTCTCAAATAAAAAATAAATAAATAAATAAATAAATCGTTTGAAAGCTTAATTTATCAATAAAACAACCATATCATTCATTTTATGCCGTACAACGAGCCCAAACCGCTATAACTTAAAAATTCACATCATAATCAAAGAATAAAATACGCGTTTCTTACCTTTGAGCCGGTTCTGTCGGTCCAAAACACGTTCAATCTATGAAAAGTTGTACTCAATAAGTCCGTAATAATCCACAGAAAAAGAATATCAAGTTGTTTTTCCAAAAAATAATTCCATGTGGGGAAATAATCCATAAAACCGTCGTCCGTATGAGTGGATGAATCCGTGAATGAAAATATTATGTCTCTTCTCCGCCTCTTTCTCCCGCTCTCACTTCCCTTTCTCTCCCGCTCTTGGGTGCGCTTGTTTTCCTCACACTCTTAGCTTCAAAATGAGACCCTCCCCGCTGTTGTAGAAGAAGCTAACGCACTCACGTACTTCCTGGCTTTACGCACGCGTCATCAGTTTGTTTACGGGAAATCTCTTCAGTCATTGGATCTTCCAGAAAGTGATTGACATATTGTTTTAGCCAATCACCAGAGCTTTCAAACGGTGGGTGGGACATGCAGTCGTCTTTGAAACGGGCGCGGTGTTTATAAGCGTAAGAGCGAGGGAGACAGGGAGCAGTGCGCGAGGGGCCATGGAACGCAGATTTGCCACTTGGAAGACAATTTTGGCTACTTTTAGGTTTTTTTCTTGAGAAAACATGCCTAAAGATCAGAAGAATTAGTATTATAATAATAACAATTATTATTATTATTATATTATTATTATTATTTTGGCACAAATTTGGCAATCTTGTGCCGAATTGTCATTTTGTTTACACAAAGGCTCACATCATCAAAACCCTTTGTCCTAGAGATCTGAAATTCTACACAGTTGTTGCCAACAACTTGAACAGTGAGTGTAGTGAGTCACAAATGCCTAGCATGAAGTATGACCAAGCTAAGGCCTTTATTTTTTTCTATTTTTTTTTTTTCGAAGCAAAAAAATACAATTTTTTTTTCAATTTTAATTGACTGTACTGTAGGTTAGGCAGCACTCACAGTCTTCATGTACATATCTACAGAAACTAGAAGGCCTAAGCTTTAAAATGGTGCCTCACACAAGCATGTGGGTTCTAAGGTTTTCTTTTAATAAGCTATGGCATTTGGGTATGTCTTACCATTGTGCACACACCAAAATGAGGCGGGTGGTAACAGGTTAAAAGTTTTGGTCTTGTCTCGGTCTTGTCTCTCAGATTATTAGAACAGAAAGACAAGAGACATGTTTCACTTGTAGTAAAAGTAATAAGAACTTAACTAAAATACAACTCATATAAATAAATATGTTATGAAGTACATGTTTACACACAGAAATATAAAAAAAGCATGTAATCCTTTTTCAGTAACTTTTCTCTTTTCAATAAGGTTTCTTCTGGTTTGATTCTTGTGAGCTTCTTGTTTCTGGAGTTAAATAGAAGTTTGTGTTGACCAAAGAGGAGCTCCTCCAAAGTTGATTTAACATTTTGTGTCCAGGACGTGACCTATCATGACAAACCTAAAAGTTCAGAATTGTTTAAACAAGAGTCTTTACAAACCTGCCTGTCAAGGAACTGTACATTTACCAAATAAACCTTTTTTGAAAAGGTAAGGTCCACTTTATTTCCACTTTATTGTCACATAAGGAAATGTATCGTCTCCATTTGCCGCCTCAGTGTGTCTGGGCTAAATCATAGACTGTGTATACAGAAGAGAAGAAAGAGACAAGAGGAAGAGGAGAGAAGAGCAGTACGATTTCACCTTGTCATAGATTTTCATCAGTTCACTGGCAGTTTGTGGCACAAAAAAGTACAAAAACACAGGAAGTGGCACTGAGTAAAACAGGATTCCTCTGCTTATGTCATCAACAAAACAGAAAACTCCACCTAATGTTTCAGTGAAGTGAGTGGTGGAACCTGTCACATGCACTTTAAGTGACAGCAACTAAAAGCCTTGTGTGTTCTCCCTCTCTCCTCCCTCTCCTTCACTTGCTTCTTCACTCACTCAGTCACTCAGTCACTCAGTCAGTCTCTCATCATGGGGGTGAACATACCTGGACTGATTGCTATGGTGATTTTCTACCTGCTGGTTCTTGGGACGGGTATCTGGGCTTCTTTGAAATCCAGAAGGGAACAGAAGAAAAATGCAGCATCTGAAATCGAGATGACTCTCCTGGGGAACCGCGGCATCGGCCTGGTGGTGGGCGTCTTCACCATGACAGGTTGGTTGGACACACTTTGTCATTTATGCTTTTTCTTTATTTCTGAGATTATTTACATTGAACATTCTCACTGACAGTATCAAAACTATTAAGGACATATTTTGAGTGTAGTGAACAAAAGATAAACTTTCAAAACATGTTTTATATTTTTAAAAACAGACGGAACTTGAAGGAAAATAAAAAGCTCAACAAAGTAAAGGGTGGATCATGAGCCAGGTTAGTTTTAACAGGTGTCCACACTTTAAACTCTGCCTCTACAGGAGCTCTGAGAGTCTAACACTGGCGAGCAAACAGAAGTATATTTCTGAAATGATTCCAGATCTGCTGTAGATCTAATGAAGTTCAGGATAAAATCCAACGTTTGCTCTGTGCAAACTGCCAAGTGTTTTTAGATCCTTATAGCTCTAAAGGCACTTTTAAGACTTCAACTAAAATTAACAAATAAAACATCAAATGTTCAATTACATTTGAGCTGTAGACGCAATGAAATCCAGGCACTCCAAAAAAGTAAAAGTCACACAAGGAGGGTTAAAAGTCCTTTATTTAAATGGTCAAAGCCAAAGTGTTTTGTCTGTGACTGGTCTTCATCAGGGCTTAGGTAAAAAATTGAAGCATGTGCATGGCCTTTAAAATACACACCAACCAATGGTAAGAACAGATGTTATTTAGAGGCAGACAAGGTTGGTGCAAGACATGCAACACGACACAGGAAAAAAAAAAACATTTATAAAAAAACAAGACAAATCAAAGTCCTCATTCAGACCAAGATGTTCATGTTCTCTTAATTTATGAATCCAGAAAGCTTCTCTTTGTTTTAATTTGTGAAGTCTATCTCCACTTCTTGCCAGTGGTTTCACATGTTCAATACCTTCAGTGCAAAGCAGAGCATCAGCGTAAACAACTAATGTCCCGGTTCTTTACTCTGATCACATATTTGTGCTTGATTAAATGATCCCGAGCCGCATTAAGCTGTCCTTTTGTTTTCCCACAGCCACTTGGGTTGGAGGAGGCTTCATAGTGGCCATAACTGAAATGGTGTACACCCCCTCTATGGGTCTGACCTCAGGCCTCATTATGTTAGCCGCCTACTCTGTCTCATTTCTACTCTGTAAGTATTCAAGTCATTTTACTCTTTTATTAAAACCATGAGAGTGGTCAGTCAGTTCCTAAATTTATGTTTTCAGTTTGTCTCAAAGCATCACACACACACAAACAAACACAAACACCCATGTGTCCTGCTGAACGACAGAATGCACCTGAATGAGCCCATCATTACACAGATGAGAGATGAGTGTAATATGAGCCCTTTAACAGTGTATAACACTAAATCAAAGAATCTTAATATTTACAAGGATACGAGAACAAACAGTGATAGGATCATGTTATTGATGTTATAGCATGAAAATCGAGACAAAGTGTCACATATCTGTTTCCATAGTTCTGTTTTTTTATAGAACAGAACTAATAAATTATAAATAAATAATCAGATTTAATTTTGATAGAAGCAACATAAAGCATAAACCCAGAAGTCTGAACAAATATTTTGAGGTTCAAACTGCATCGACTATCTGTCCACATGGCTGCAGATCACAGACAGGGGGAGCCGGAGAGCAGGTGCCAAACATAGGGATGGAGCAGAGGATGGGAGTCCACTGAGAATGTCTTAAAAAATCACTAAGTAATGCCCCTTTGAATCTGGGAGAGAAGCGGCTTATAATGTACGAACAGACAGAAATGAACTGCTATATAAAACACTGATTTGTTGATGTAATTTACCCCAGAGTAAAGGAAATTACTTCTGTTCTGTCAAAAGACCCCAGAGCCTGAGGTCCTTTAAATAATTAATCTTCAGGGCCCCTAAATAATTGACTGATACTTATAAAGGTATTGGAAAAAGTGCCCACATTTTCATCTATTTCTGTCATCTTTTGTTTAGGTGGCTGTGTGTTTGCTGAACCTTTACGAGACCAAAAGTGCGTGACCATGATGGATCCCTTCCACAGGAAGTACGGCAAAGGCTTCACAGCTGTCATGTGTATGGTCTCAGTTTTTATGGACGTACTCTGGATGGGTACAACACTTATCGGTTTGGGTAAGACACAATTCTCACAAAAAGTTGATGTACAATAACAAATGTCTAGTTTCTCATGAAATACTAGAATTGACCTTAAATGAGTGAAACATCACATTCACACAGCGGCTTGACTCATACTGTCTGCTCATCATCTGGGCTCATAATTCAGGCTAAACTTTTGTTGTACCTTCAACAGGTGCTACCATCAGTGTGGTCCTGGACCTGTCCTACACTGTGAGCATCTGGATCTCTGCAGCTGTGGCCATCACCTACACTCTGATGGGAGGACTCTACTCTGTGGCGTACACCGACATCATCCAACTGACCCTTATCTTCTTTGGTCTGGTGAGACGTTAAACGTTTAACACCCTTTATTATTCTCCGTCCTTTTTCTTGCACTTTATGTGTTCGTCGCGGGAGCAGCAGTCTGAGCAGGGAGGATCAGATTTCCCTCTCCGCGAACACTTCCTCCAGGTCTTCTGGGAGGACCCCAAGGTGTTCCCAGGCCAGCTGAGAGGCCCAGGCCCTTCAGCGTGTCCTGGTCTTCCCCATCAACAGATTTTCTCCTGACTGGCTCTTTGGTTATTATGAAACGCTCACTCCGATTTACAAATATGGAAGTTTGCTCCAGATTAGCGGCCTCAAATGGTCGGAGTCCAACAGTGTGGCATCCCTCAGTCCACTCTTATGTACAGGCTACGATCTGTTCAGATAGAGCCTCACAGACCTTTGGGGCATATTACAAATTACTTTGTGTAGTAATCGTGCTCTACAAATTAATAATTAAGAATGGAGCCTATTGTATTCTAAAGAAACATATTTTTCTTTGTCTGTCAATGAGTGCGTATACATGCACATCAATAACCCAGTAATGATCAGGTTTTTTGAGTATCCCGGTTTCTTGATGGTGCATGTAAACGCAGTAACCCGGTTTCAGTAACCTGGTTATGGCAGTATCCCGGTTATTAGAAACCGGGTTACTGTAGCTGGTTTATTCCGATAGTAACCGGGTTACTTGTGGCATGTATACGCAGTACCCTGGTTACTGCAACATAAAGTTGAGTGCACATGCGTCCAAAATACACTTTCCAGCCTTTCACCACAACAGTAGTGACATAAATAAATTGACCAACATAAATAAAGTGACCAAACGAGTGAAATGACTGTAAAATAAAGAGCTGCACTAAACCTGCACATGTACAATCTGCACTCGTACGACCTGCACTCGTGTGACGCTGAAAAACTAAAACATGAACTATCTCCTAAACTCTATACACACGAAACACACTCACCATCATTAGCGCCTCCTCTGTCACAGAAATAACACACATAATCCACAGAGTCGTGTCATTTAGTCCAAAAGAAACTGATCACATCAGCGGCACAAGGAGCGAGTTGTTTTTATCACCTCTAACAGTTTATGCTAATTAGCCAAACGGTCTTAACTTTCATTTCTGTAAAACGTAAACAAATGTGATCAGAGCTGAACGATCTGATCAAACGGGCTGATGTGGATCTATAGTGTTTATGGTTTATATGTTGTAAAGTTGAGTTTATTTATGCAGAAGATTTTAATGAAGAATCTGCACAGTGGATTGTGGGAGATCTCGTAGCTCCTTAGCTTCTTATGCTAAAGGAGCTCACGGTTTGTATTTTTCCTGGTTTATGAAATTGATTTAAGTTCATTTTTGCGCCTGCGCATTTGTAAGATTATGTCAAGAAACCGGGACACTCCATTTGATCATGTACATGTGGATATGAGTGTCCAGGTTTCTCAGTGAACATGTAAACACAGTAACACGAATACTGACAGAACCAGGATATGGCTAATAACCGGGTTATTGATGTGCATGTGACGCACTCAATATAATACTGTATAAATGACAACCGAAGACAATTGTTGATTTAATGTATCGGAAAGAAAGATTCTCGTATCGATTAATGTTGTCGAACTATAAAGAAGACTATAATAAAGACCAAGTTTGTGAGCAATTTAAACAGAAAATGTTTGGAAATGAAAGATGTAATATCTGCAAAGGGTAAAGAGAAGTGTAACGATGTAGTTCAAAAAAAGATGATAAAAACATGATGCAGATGTGACTTGACTTTAATGTTCTACCCTTGTGTTTCAGGGGATCTGTGTTCCCTTTGTGCTGATTAACCCTTACTCTGTGAACATTGGCGAAACACTGATGAACAACACCCTGCACTCTCCCTGGATCGGTGCACCAAACCCAACAAGAATCTGGATTATGATGGATGATTTTTTATTTTTGGTATGTTTCCTTAACCATTTAAGGCAAATTAATACTTTTCTCAGACCTTTAGACTACCAACACGCTGACATGTCACATGGTCAAATCCAAAATGTCCTCTTTCCACTCGCCTTCAGAAGGCTGGGTGCTTGAGCGCTGTTTGTACCAGTCCAAACCCAGTCAGAACCAGTCCAAAAATACTCTGAGACTTGTAGACCCACTCTATCTGTCCATACCCAGTTTAAGTCCAAACCCTAGAAGAACCATTTCACACTCAGTTCTCGGTCCTAGGGGCAGCAGCCCGGCAGTGTGAACACAACACCTACTCCAGTCACACATGGACTGGACGGCTCTTAGCAAAGCTAAGCCCAAGCTGCATCTGGAGGTGAAGTTGACTAGATCTAGTCTTTAACACTCAAACTCCCACACACTCAGGCCCCTCCCCACGGATCCTCCTGGAGGTGGTGTGGTGACCCCACGTTTTTCATTCAGGCTTTGCTCGGTCGGTGGGAGAGCTGTAATTTGCAGTGTAATAGTGTTTCAGAAGTGTTTTGTGACTACATCAGTCTGCTGAGTGCTGTCTGCATCTGATTAGAAAATGCCAGTGTTTTATTTTCCATTTGTTCATGTAGTGACAGAATGACTGTTTGTCTGCAGGCAGTGGGAAGTGTAGCGTTCCAGGCCTTTCACCAGAGGACGCTGTCTGCTTCTTCAACCAGGTCAGCTAAGATCACCTGCTCCATTGCTGCTTTGGGAATCCAGGTCTTTGGAATAGCTCCCATTCTGTTTGGCGCAGCTGCGGCATCCACAGGTATTAAGACTCTTGTACACAGCACATATACGGTAAAGTGTGCAGGTCGGGAGGGCAGGGACACTTGTACAACAACACTGAGCCAAACTCCCTTAGTCCTCTTTTTTATACAGTTCATGACTCTTCCCTGCGTACAGTGTTCTAGCAGTTTTTCTTTAATTTGTCAGACTGGAACCAGACGTCGTACGGGTCTCCTTCTCCTTATGAGCGAGGAGAAGGTGCTCGGGTGCTGCCCATCATGTTGCAGTTCCTCACTCCCTCTTACATCTCCATCATTGGAATCGGCTGTGTGGCCGCTGCTGTCATGTCCTCTGCAGACTCAGCGCTGATGTCGGCCTCTTCAGTCTTTTCAGTCAATGTGTACAAGAACATCATAAGACCCCAGGTGAGATGACACAGACGAGCAGTTTCCTAACGCTAAGATGTGTGGTATGTCCACGTAGACTTAGTGGAGAAGTATAAACCGACCTTAACAGTGTGGTTTCCAGCCACTGTTGTGCACAAAGTCCATTATAGCATCCCATGTTTTGAATTTACATTTTTTATTTTGCCCTAAGTGATCTGGTTTTCAATGAGTTTGGTAAAGCTAAAAGTCAAATGTAATTTTGAACCATTAGAAAATTGTTTATTTTTTCCCTCAGGCCTCAAACAGAGAGATGCAGTGGGTGATCCGGGCCTGTGTGTTTGTGGTCGGTGTCACTGGGACTGCTCTCACCACCTTGAGAAATAGCACGTTACTGTTCTGGTTTCTGGCAGCTGAAGTGGCTTATGTTGTAGTCTTCCCCCAGTTCTTCTGCGTCCTCTTCTTACAAAGGACCAACCTCTATGGAGCTATCGCGGGCTTGCTCCTCGGCTTTCCTTTCCGGCTGATGTGTGGAGATCCCTCACTAGGACTGCCTCCAGTACTACGTTTCCCAGGATGCACTCTGGAGGGCGGGGTTTACGTCCAGTACTCTCCCATTAAAACCATCTCCATGTTGTCTTCCTTGGCTACCATTGTGTTCTTCTCCTATTTGTTTTCTCAGCTCTTCAACCGAGGTCACCTTCCTGAGCGATGGGACGTGTTCCATGTGAAAGTTCAGACATCACTGCAACCAGGACAAAAAAATAAGGGCACCCACACAAGTGATACAGATATGAAGATGTCAAAAGCTGACTTTGAAATGGAAGCTTTGGACCCAGAGAGAAACAGATCATAAAGAAACTCAAGACGATCTTTAACAACTACAAACAGGTTCCTAGATATTCTATCAGCCTACAGTGGTCAGGAATGCCCGTGATAGGGCTCAGTCTCTCGATCGGGGCCACTTTACTTACGAAGAATAATACAGTGAGGTCCAAAGAGCTATCTCGCCCTATGTTTGTCACCACTTACAGTACTTGTGCTGAACAAATCAAAAATATTGTTCAGGTCTATACTCTTAAGTGACCCTGTTTTAAGCAAAGTCTTCCCTGAAACACCTTTATTTTCTTTTAGACATGCTCCAAATCTTCAAAACACGTTGACGAACTCTTACCTTCCTCCAGAGAATAAAAGCACATGGCTGAAAAAACCTACTGGCACATTGAAATGTTTGAACTGTCCTCATTATGCAAATGTCCTTGAAACAAAAACATTAATGGATGTATACAATAATAAATCATTCACACAAAATCATTTTAGTTAATACTACTCATCTTATATATTATTAAACTTTTTTCTGTACCGTGTTGCATGTCTTGCACCTGCCTTGTTTGCCTCTAATTAACATCTATTCTTACCATTGGTTGGTGTATTGTAAAGGCCACGCGCATGCTTCAGGGCACCTGCAGGGTCTTAAAAGTCTTTAAAAGGTCTTAAATTTCATGTTCCTAAATTAAGGCCTTAAAAGTCTTAAATTCTATTGTCCAAGTCTTATTTTTTTCACAAAGGTCTTAAATTTCATTAACCTATTTTTTGTAAACTCAACCAGGCTGCAGTGCAATGTTAAATGGAAGGAGGAAAAAAAAATCAACGTCAAATCACATAACGTGAATGAACGTGTAATTTGGAGTATTTGCAAACAATACTTTGGTTTATGTGTAAATAATCAGAGTGGAGAAAGACATTGGATGGATCATGGGAAAGTGAAGGTTTAATCCACAATGACTCTTAGATACAAGATACAGTACCTGTAGTTGGTTGGTCATTATTAGAATTGGATCTGGTGTTTTTCGCCTGCATAATGGTTGCGATGTTGGTCTTAATTTTCATTTAAGTGGTGTTGAAAAGGTCTTAAAAAGTCTTAAATTTGGGGTAGTTAAACCTGGGGATACCCTGTGCTTCAGTTTTTTACCTAAGCCCTGATGAAGATCAGTCATGGACGAAACATATTGGCTTTGACCATTTAAATAAAGGACTTTTAACCCTCCTTGTGTGACTTTTACTTTTTTGGAGTGCCTGGATTTCATTGCGTCTACAGCTCAAATGTAATTGAACATTTGATGTTTTATTTGTTAATTTTAGTTGAAGTCTTAAAAGTGCCTTTAGAGCTATAAGGATCTAAAAACACTTGGCAGTTTGCACAGAGCAAACGTTGGATTTTATCCTGAACTTCATTAGATCTACAGCAGATCTGGAATCATTTCAGAAACATACTTCTGTTTGCTCGCCAGTGTTAGACTCTCAGAGCTCCTGTAGAGGCAGAGTTTAAAGTGTGGACACCTGTTAGAACTAACCTGGCTCATGATCCACCCTTTACTTTGTTGAGCTTTTTATTTTCCTTCAAGTTCCGTCTGTTTTTAAAAATATAAAACATGTTTTGAAAGTTTATCTTTTGTTCACTACACTCAAAATATGTCCTTAATAGTTTTGATACTGTCAGTGAGAATGTTCAATGTAAATAATCTCAGAAATAAAGAAAAAGCATAAATGAAAAAGTGTGTCCAACCAACCTGTCATGGTGAAGACGCCCACCACCAGGCCGATGCCGCGGTTCCCCAGGAGAGTCATCTCGATTTCAGATGCTGCATTTTTCTTCTGTTCCCTTCTGGATTTCAAAGAAGCCCAGATACCCGTCCCAAGAACCAGCAGGTAGAAAATCACCATAGCAATCAGTCCAGGTATGTTCACCCCCATGATGAGAGACTGACTGAGTGACTGAGTGACTGAGTGAGTGAAGAAGCAAGTGAAGGAGAGGGAGGAGAGAGGGAGAACACACAAGGCTTTTGGTTGCTGTCACTTAAAGTGCATGTGACAGGTTCCACCACTCACTTCACTGAAACATGTTTTACATAGATGTGTCTAAATTGTCTCTGCATTTTGGGTGGAGTTTTCTGTTTTATTGAAGACATAGGCTTTTTGTACTTTTATTGTCACCTTTTTTTCCACAAACTGTCAATGAACTGATGTAAAACTGATAAATATATGGTAGATATAGACCATACCGTATCTTTACAGAACCTTTACAATATCTTTATAACCTTTTATTAAAGAATAATACTTTGAATGTTTGAAATAAAATGAATGTCTATCAAGTTCAATAACATTTACGGCCAGCTTGAATCACTCTTTTGGCTTAGGCAGCCTCTTCAGAAAGAAACCAAAGTCTGAGGTAAGAGCCCAGTGAATCCATACTCCCTTTACTGAAATGTGATTATGACCCCAGAGACTCTGAGAGGCTTTGTAGCAGTGACTGTCACACATTTCATATGTTTCTGCACACTGTTTCTGAAAACTTTTCAATATTCATAACATTTAATTTATATTCTCTTACTGTTTTTGCAGTGATATTTAGCCTCTGCACATTGACCGGCTGTAATGAAATATGATCGCACTAGTTGAGTGTTAGACCTCCAAGACAAGATCAAGACCAAATGTGCTTGAGTCTGAGATGAGACCAAGACTGTAAAAGAGCGGTCTCGAGGCCGGTTTCGAGGACTACGACACTAATATACACTGTTTTTTTGGACAGACCTGGGGACATATGAGGCTCATGTTCTTAAATGTGCAATATGTAACTTTTTGGTTCAGGGTCTGTCACCTTCTTGTTTCTAAGGAGATGTCATGGCATTTATTAAATGACTTGCCTCTACACAGATCTGATCTGTAACTTGGTCTGGTTTGGTTTGGTTTCCATGAAGATAGAAAGGTTTACTACCACACTGTGCAACATTCTAGACCAAGGGTGTCCAAACTTTTTTTAATCAAGGGCCACATATCTAAACACAGACAAAGCAGAGGGCCGATCGAGGGCCGTAGACTGATGCTCAATACAGTGAATCATTGAAATATGTGCATGTTTAACACGTTAGAATAAGCCATCAGTCTTTATTCATGCTTTGTTCAAGATCCTTAAAACCACAAACTAATCATTAAATATTAAAAAAGTAAATTTTTAATTGATGCAAGACAGTGGTGAAGCATGCATTTCACACCTAGGCCTTCAGTAGTGCTCCTTCTGAAACATACTCAATACTCCTTCTCAGTAACTATTTTATAGTTACATTATACACAGTATAAAGAGGAGTGGAGATTCCGTGCCATGGAGAAGTGAGGAGAGGGGGGCGCACTGTGAGGAGTGCTGGGGTGCTAAACCAGAACAAAACCAGAACTAAGCCAGGTCTGTTTGTCGGGACTGGTCCGAAGGTGCGCCCGCGTAGATTGTCGGGTGACCGCAGATGAAAGACCCGGGCCGGGGTCAGTGCTCCATGCTGCCTGGGGCTCGGATCAACGCTGCACGGACCACCGGCCCCTGGCGGCCGCATGGGGCTCAGTGCAGCTGTCGCCCGAACGCGCTTTGTGGCCACTTTCTCTCTTGCTCTTGCTCTCTCTCTCGCTCAAGTCCAAGATTAGTCCTGGTGTAGTTCTGATTTAGACCTGGTTTAGACCTGGTGTAGTCCCGGTTCTGCCACAGATCCAGTTTGTTGTTTGGCTGGTTCGCTCTCTGTCCAATCACGAGTCTGAATCCGGTGTTGTTGTCGTGCGCTGCTAAAGGCCCTGATGACACCAACTCAAAATCTGATTGGTTGAAACAGCAGTTTCATGGACATGAAACTGTCCATGAAACTGTGTTTGAGTTCCTGCTGAATGGATTGTGAAGGCCTCAGGGACACTTCTTTGACTTTGACTCTGCGTAGCAACAAGTGACGGCTGAAATGTGATTGGTCAAATGCTTTAATATGAAAATGCATGTGTGGAAGCAGCACAAGCATTGGAAAAGCTCTGAAAGGAAGAGGACAGAACATTTGGAATTATTTAATAATAATAATATAATTCACAACAGTCTGTGATTCAGACATTTTTTTAGGCCAGCATAGAAGGCCTTGCAGGCCCTGAGGCCCTGCCACTGATGCAAGGTAATTTGGGCCAATTCACCTGGAAGCCTGAGGACCAAGAAAAATTTGTCTGAGGGCCGCATTTGGCCTACAGGCCATAATTTGGACAAGCCTGATCTAGACAATAACATCTCTATCTCCACCTCTTGCCAATGGTTTCACATGTTAAATAAAATAGTCAATAAAAAAATTAAATAAAAAAACTTTAAGGACAAGGACACGAAAGATGATATATAACATGAGTTGTATAACAATTAATGAAATGATTTTGTGTGAATGATTTATTATTGTATACATCCATTAATGTTTTTGTTTTAAGGACATTTGCATAATGAGGACAGTTCAAACATTTCAATGTGCCAGTAGGTTTTTTCAGCCATGTGCTTTTATTCTCTGGAGGAAGGTAAGAGTTCGTCAACGTGTTTCGAAGATTTGGAGCATGTCTAAAAGAAAATAAAGGTGTTTCAGGGAAGACTTTGCTTAAAACAGGGTCACTTAAGAGTATAGACCTGAACAATATTTTTGATTTGTTCAGCACAAGTACTGTAAGTGGTGACAAACATAGGGCGAGATAGCTCTTTGGACCTCACCGTATTATTCTTCGTAAGTAAAGTGGCCCGATCGAGAGACTGAGCCCTATCACGGGCATTCCTGACCACTGTAGGCTGATAGAATATCTAGGAACCTGTTTGTAGTTGTTAAAGATCGTCTTGAGTTTCTTTATGATCTGTTTCTCTCTGGGTCCAAAGCTTCCATTTCAAAGTCAGCTTTTGACATCTTCATATCTGTATCACTTGTGTGGGTGCCCTTATTTTTTTGTCCTGGTTGCAGTGATGTCTGAACTTTCACATGGAACACGTCCCATCGCTCAGGAAGGTGACCTCGGTTGAAGAGCTGAGAAAACAAATAGGAGAAGAACACAATGGTAGCCAAGGAAGACAACATGGAGATGGTTTTAATGGGAGAGTACTGGACGTAAACCCCGCCCTCCAGAGTGCATCCTGGGAAACGTAGTACTGGAGGCAGTCCTAGTGAGGGATCTCCACACATCAGCCGGAAAGGAAAGCCGAGGAGCAAGCCCGCGATAGCTCCATAGAGGTTGGTCCTTTGTAAGAAGAGGACGCAGAAGAACTGGGGGAAGACTACAACATAAGCCACTTCAGCTGCCAGAAACCAGAACAGTAACGTGCTATTTCTCAAGGTGGTGAGAGCAGTCCCAGTGACACCGACCACAAACACACAGGCCCGGATCACCCACTGCATCTCTCTGTTTGAGGCCTGAGGGAAAAAATAAACAATTTTATAATGGTTCAAAATTACATTTGACTTTTAGCTTTACCAAACTCATTGAAAACCAGATCACTTAGGGCAAAATAAAAAATGTAAATTCAAAACATGGGATGCTATAATGGACTTTGTGCACAACAGTGGCTGGAAACCACACTGTTAAGGTCGGTTTATACTTCTCCACTAAGTCTACGTGGACATACCACACATCTTAGCGTTAGGAAACTGCTCGTCTGTGTCATCTCACCTGGGGTCTTATGATGTTCTTGTACACATTGGCTGAAAAGACTGAAGAGGCCGACATCAGCGCTGAGTCTGCAGAGGACATGACAGCAGCGGCCACACAGCCGATCCCAATGATGGAGATGTAAGAGGGAGTGAGGAACTGCAGCATGATGGGCAGCACCCGAGCACCTTCTCCTCGCTCATAAGGAGAAGGAGACCCGTACGACGTCTGGTTCCAGTCTGACAAATTAAAGAAAAACTGCTAGAACACTGTACGCAGGGAAGAGTCATGAACTGTATAAAAAAGAGGACTAAGGGAGTTTGGCTCAGTGTTGTTGTACAAGTGTCCCTGCCCTCCCGACCTGCACACTTTACCGTATATGTGCTGTGTACAAGAGTCTTAATACCTGTGGATGCCGCAGCTGCGCCAAACAGAATGGGAGCTATTCCAAAGACCTGGATTCCCAAAGCAGCAATGGAGCAGGTGATCTTAGCTGACCTGGTTGAAGAAGCAGACAGCGTCCTCTGGTGTATGGTCTGGTATGCTACACTTCCCACTGCCTGCAGACAAACATTCTGTCATTCTGTCACTACATGAACAAATGGAAAATAAAACACTGGCATTTTCTAATCAGATGCAGACAGCACTCAGCAGACTGATGTAGTCACAAAACACTTCTGAAACACTATTACACTGCAAATTACAGCTCTCCCACCGACCGAGCAAAGCCTGAATGAAAAACGTGGGGTCACCACACCACCTCCAGGAGGATCCGTGGGGAGGGGCCTGAGTGTGTGGGAGTTTGAGTGTTAAAGACTAGATCTAGTCAACTTCACCTCCAGATGCAGCTTGGGCTTAGCTTTGCTAAGAGCCGTCCAGTCCATGTGTGACTGGAGTAGGTGTTGTGTTCACACTGCCGGGCTGCTGCCCCTAGGACCGAGAACTGAGTGTGAAATGGTTCTTCTAGGGTTTGGACTTAAACTGGGTATGGACAGATAGAGTGGGTCTACAAGTCTCAGAGTATTTTTGGACTGGTTCTGACTGGGTTTGGACTGGTACAAACAGCGCTCAAGCACCCAGCCTTCTGAAGGCGAGTGGAAAGAGGACATTTTGGATTTGACCATGTGACATGTCAGCGTGTTGGTAGTCTAAAGGTCTGAGAAAAGTATTAATTTGCCTTAAATGGTTAAGGAAACATACCAAAAATAAAAAATCATCCATCATAATCCAGATTCTTGTTGGGTTTGGTGCACCGATCCAGGGAGAGTGCAGGGTGTTGTTCATCAGTGTTTCGCCAATGTTCACAGAGTAAGGGTTAATCAGCACAAAGGGAACACAGATCCCCTGAAACACAAGGGTAGAACATTAAAGTCAAGTCACATCTGCATCATGTTTTTATCATCTTTTTTTGAACTACATCGTTACACTTCTCTTTACCCTTTGCAGATATTACATCTTTCATTTCCAAACATTTTCTGTTTAAATTGCTCACAAACTTGGTCTTTATTATAGTCTTCTTTATAGTTCGACAACATTAATTGATACGAGAATCTTTCTTTCCGATACATTAAATCAACAGTTGTCTTCGGTTGTCATTTATACAGTATTATATTGACAGACAAAGAAAAATATGTTTCTTTAGATTACAATAAGCACCATTCTTGTCTCCTTTCTTGTAGGTGAGGCAAATTAATTTGTAGAGCACGATTACTACACAAAGTAATTTGTAATATGCCCCAAAGGTCTGTGAGGCTCTATCTGAACAGATCGTAGCCTGTACATAAGAGTGGACTGAGGGATGCCACACTGTTGGACTCCAACCAGTTGAGGCCGCTAATTTGGAGCAAACTTCCACATTTGTAAATCCGAGTGAGCGTTTCATAATAACCAAAGAGCCAGTCAGGAGAAAATCTGTTGATGGTACTTGTCCCTTCCCACCAGGGAACACCGACGCTCACTTCCTATTTGGATGGCAGCAGGTGAGCTTTGTCCACTTACACATACAGACCATGACCAGGGCTCAGTGCAGCTTGAGTCCAGCTCTACTGTCACACACTTTGAGAGTATTTGACCAAGAACCCTTAAGACATTAAGGGTTAGGGTTAGGGTTTAGGGTTAGGGTTAGGGTTAAGTTATTCTTATTAATAACAGCTGAGTCGAAAGACAAATAAAGCTCTCGATTTACTTCTAGATGCCTCTCTGGGGAGGAGGCCCTGGGAAGACCAGGACACGCTGGAGGGCCTGGGCCTCTCAGCTGGCCTGGGAACATCTTGGGATCCTCCCAGAAGACCTGGAGGAAGTGTTCGCAGAGAGGGAAGTCTCAGACTGCCGCTCCTGCATAAAGTGCAAGAAAAAGGACGGAGAATAATAAAGGGTGTTAAACGTTTAACGTCTCACCAGACCAAAGAAGATAAGGGTCAGTTGGATGATGTCGGTGTACGCCACAGAGTAGAGTCCTCCCATCAGAGTGTAGGTGATGGCCACAGCTGCAGAGATCCAGATGCTCACAGTGTAGGACAGGTCCAGGACCACACTGATGGTAGCACCTGTTGAAGGTACAACAAAAGTTTAGCCTGAATTATGAGCCCAGATGATGAGCAGACAGTATGAGTCAAGCCGCTGTGTGAATGTGATGTTTCACTCATTTAAGGTCAATTCTAGTATTTCATGAGAAACTAGACATTTGTTATTGTACATCAACTTTTTGTGAGAATTGTGTCTTACCCAAACCGATAAGTGTTGTACCCATCCAGAGTACGTCCATAAAAACTGAGACCATACACATGACAGCTGTGAAGCCTTTGCCGTACTTCCTGTGGAAGGGATCCATCATGGTCACGCACTTTTGGTCTCGTAAAGGTTCAGCAAACACACAGCCACCTAAACAAAAGATGACAGAAATAGATGAAAATGTGGGCACTTTTTCCAATACCTTTATAAGTATCAGTCAATTATTTAGGGGCCCTGAAGATTAATTATTTAAAGGACCTCAGGCTCTGGGGTCTTTTGACAGAACAGAAGTCATTTCATCAACAAATCAGTGTTTTATATAGCAGTTCATTTCTGTTTGTTTGTACATTATAAGCCACTTCGCTCCCAGATTCAAAGGGGCATTACTTAGTGATTTTTTAACACATACACCCCTGGAGACTTGCCACTGAGGAGCTTGCCAACCACCTCAGTGACTTCAGCCATGGTGATGGACAATTCTGCCTCTAAGTCCCCAGCCTCTGCTTCCTCCTTGGAAGACATGACGGTGGGATTCAGGAGATGCTCCAAGTTTTCCTTCTACTGTCCACCAACATCCCCAGTCGAGGTCAAGAGCCTTGGTGAAGCACTGCTTCCCCCTCCTGAGGCACCGAACAATTTGCCAGAATTTCTTTGAGGCCAACCAATAGTCCTCCTCCATGGGCTCCCTAAACTCATCTCAGCTCTGCGTTTCTGCCTCTGCAACTGCACAGGCTGCAGCACCCTTGGCTCCTTCAGCTGTCCATTTACTTCCGGTGTCCACCACCGGGTTTATGGATTGCCACCGCAACAGGCACAACAGACCACAGCTACGAGTGGCCACATCGAAAACAGATGCTGAGAACAAAGCCCACTCGGACTTCATGTTCCCAGCCTCCTCTGGAATCTGGGAGAAGGTCTCCTGGAGGTGTGAGTTTAAACTTTCTCTGACAGAGGCAGATGTTCCCAACAGGCCCTCACTATACCCTCTTTTCCTCCTCCAGAGCTGTAAAGTGCCCACCGCAGGTCTGGCTCCAGGGTGGGGTCCCAGGCACAAAAATCCAGGCGAAGTAACTCGCCTCATTCTTGTACTCATCATAAAGGGCAAATGAACCGCTCTTAGTCTGACCCATCTCCCAAGACCTGTTTATGTTGGGTGACCCTACCAGGAGCTTTATGCCCCAACACTCAAACCCTCCACCATGTTAAGGTGGAGGATCAAGGAGGAGCCACTGTGTTTTTAAACTCCATAGACTTTTACACCTTCACTAGAATCATTTGGATGATTTCAACCCTGGAAATGCTCCTCTCTACTGAAGAAAAGGTAAAGAAAAGCTCAGAAAATGAAAACTATTATTTCATGACATCACAAAGTGGAAGCAAGTTTTGAGTTTTAGAGATGTTGACAGACTAAGAATAAAGAATTTCTCAAACATGTGTAAATTAAACAAAACCCAACTCCAGGTCTGGTTTTGTTGAGGTACATTATAACATGGCTAAAAGCTCAACACAGTCAATGATCAGGTTGATTCAGGTGCATTATGTCGTTCAGCAGGGCACAGGGGACAGCGGCTGCACCCCCCACAAATGACAAAGGGGAGGTTGCCGTGAGTTTACCACAAGTTAATTCATAAATGAAACATTCATTTTGTAATCTTCATATAACACACTAAAGATAAGAGTCTCATGCACTCACACTGTTTTGAGTTTACAAGTTTACATGAGTAAAATTACTTGAATACTTACTGAGCAGAAATGAGACAGAGTAGGCGGCTAACATCAAGAGGGCCCAGGTCAGACCCATAGAGGGGGTGTACACCATCTCAGTTGTGCCCACTATGAAGCCTCCTCCAACCCAAGTGGCTGTAAGAAAACAAAAGGACAGCTAAAATGTAATGGAACATTTGATGATGTTTTATTTGTTCATTTTAGTGGAAGTCCTAAAAGTGCCGTTTGCAGTTTGCACAGAGCAAACATTGGAACTTATACTGAACTTCATTAGATCCACAGCAGATCTGGAAACATTTCAGAAACATAAACACTACATACAGATAAACATACTTACAGATGTGGACAAAATTGTTGGTACCCCACTGGTAAGGAAAAGGAAATTCACCTATTTTCACTGAAATAACTTGAAACTGAGAAAAGCAATAATAAATAAAAAAAATCCTGACAAATAACCAATGATAATCAGACACTGTTTTTGAATTGTTGTTCAACAGAATTATTTTTAAAAACAAACTAATGAAACTGGCCTGGACAAAAATGATGGTTCCCTTAGAAAAGATTGTAACTGGACAATATGGACATGTTAAACTTCAGTGTGTCTCTAATCTGCATCACAGGTTCTTCAAACTTGTCCTCAGTCAGTGTGTCTGTTTAAAGGGCGACATGTGTCATTGTGTTTGGAGACATGATGGACACAACACTGAACATGGATCAGAGAAAGAGAAGAAGACAACCACAAAGAACATGAGAGACGAGCAGTTTAAAGATAAAGACAAAAAGACCATCTTCAAGCAGCGTGATGTTCCTGTGATTACACTTCCACATGTTCTTCAGAAGTTTAAGGTCCACAGGACTGAAGACAACCTCCATGGACACAACCGCAAGAAGAAAATTTATGACAAACTGAAGAGACGGATCATACGAATGGAACCAAAGAGCCAGAACAACCTCCAAACAAATGAAATGTGAAGTTGAAGGACGAGGAACATCAGTGTCAGATCACACCATCCGTCACTGTTTGAGTCAAAGCGGACTTCATGTGAGGACACCACTGCTGAGAGAAAATCATCAAAAAGTGACACTGGAATTTGTTACAATACAGACGGACAAACCACAAAGCTTTTAGGAGAATGTTCTTTGGACAGATGAGACAAAACTGGAGCTCTTTGGCAAGACACATCAGCTCTATGTTCACAGACGCAAACATGAAGCAGACCAAGAAAAGAACACTGTCCCTACTGTGAAGCACGGAGGAGGTTTGGTTTGATTTTGGGGCTGTTCTGCTGCATGTGGCACAGGGCGTCTTGAATCTGTGCAGAGTTCAACGAAATCTCAAAACTATGAAGGTGTTTTGGAACAAAATGTGTTGCCTAGTGTCAGAAAGTTTGGTCTCAGTCATACATCATGGGACTTCCAACAGAACAATGACCCAAAACACATGAAAAAACACACAAGAACAACTAAGAACAAAACTTTGGACTGTTCTGGAGTGTTCTTCTGTGAGCTCAGATCTCAGTCCCTCTGAACATCTGTGAAAGGAGCTGAAACATGCATCTGGAGAAGGAATCCTTCAAACCTGAGACTAGAACAGTTTGTTAACGTGGAGTGGGTCAAAATACCAGTTGACCAAAGCAGAAGTCTCACTGACAGTTAGAGAAATTATTTATTTGCAGAGTTTGCCTCAAAAGGTTGTACAACAAAATATTAAGTTAAGGGAACCATCATTTTTGTCCAGGCCAGTTTCATTACTTCACTGAAAAAATGGTCCGAGAGGGGTTGCTCAAATTGCAAAAAAAAATTTTTTACAACAATAACATGACATTTTTATGATTCTCTGTAAAGCATGTTTAAATCTTACAAAGGTTGCTTGATTGTGGCCGATGTGAGACCTGCATGACTTTATTATAATCTCTGGTGAAGCTCCTCCCTCTGGAATTCTCCTCCCCAAAACATTTGGAGGGAAAATTCAAATGTAGCAGGACACAGGACAGTTCCAGGAGCAGAGGACACAGGACAGTTGTTGAATGTGTTTGTTCCAGAGTCGTCTACAAACAAAGAGTGACGTCCAGAGCTCTGCTGGAGCTGTGGGGAAGTTCATGAATGTTCTATTTGATGTTTCAGGAAAAAGGAAGATGTTTGACAACCAACAAAACACAGACCACAGATGAACAAAGTAAGTAAACCAACTAAAATGATTTTAAAAGAATTTTTCAAAATGTACTTCTATTCTTTCATTGCAGAGGGGCACTAACAATTTTGCCCACGTCTGTTTGTTTCCTACCAAGTGTTTCTCTCACAGCTGCTGTAGAGGCAAAGTTTAGTGTGGACACCTCATCTGCAGACAGAGACACGTCCTGCGTTTGTCTCATTCTCAGTTTATGTTCAGGCCTCATGTGAAACTCAGAACTTCCAGAATTCCCTCCCTGAGCCGCAGAGGCTGCACTAGCACTGGCAGCAGGTGCTGAGGTTTACGTAGAGACCGTTTGGATCAGAGAGAGGCATTTTAGGTTTAAACACACTGGATTTCAGCTTTGAACTAGCAACCCAAATGAGAGAGTCATGTGAGACTCATTGTGCTTTCTAATTGGAGAATCAGGATACAGACCCACATGTATTTGTGCTTGGAACAAAACTGAAAATGGTCCATGAAGTGAAGTATCTGGGAGTCACCCTGGACCCACAACTATCATTCAAACAACACATCAAAAGAACAGTGAATAAAATCAAATATCATTTATCAAATTTTCGCCATATAAGAAATAATCTAATGACCAACTCAGCATTTATGTACTTAAATTCAATGATTTTGCCACACCTAAATTATTGCATTACTACTTGGACTCTGACAAACAAAAGTACTCTTAAATTAGCTGAAACAATATATAAAAAATCACTTAAAGTATTAGACAAAAAGCCTCAAATTATCACTGTTGCAGAATACTTGACAAATACAAATTCCTAAATTGGGACAACACAATCAAATATGGAGATTTAATTCTGGTTTACAAAGTTTTTAATCATCTTGCTACACCTCCTCTAAAGGAGTTTGTGAAAAGAAATTCAAATCGCACAACAAGAGCAGGTTCCAGAGGCGACTGCTCTGTTCCGTTTAGGAAAAGTACCTTTGGACAACTCTCTTTTGCTTATCGAGCAGCTCAAACATGGAATGCAGTGCAGCTCATATACGAGAACTTTCAACACTGGCAGCATTTTCTAAAGCTTTAAAACAGTGGTTACTCAATGGTCAAATATGTCACCATGTTTAACCAATTTATCTTTTCTTTTATTTTGAGGGGTTGTTGGTTTAACTCTTGACTTAATTCTTAAACTTCTGACTTTGAACTTCAAATGAACTGTTTGAAACTAATTGTGTATAGTGAGTGTGTTGGTGTTGTGTACTTTTGTGTGATTGTTGCTGTACTTTTCCTCGTCCTATAGATGATTTTACATCAACCTGCCGAGGGACTGAAGATGGAAATTAGCCACGTTGGCTATAATCTTTGCATATTTACATTTTTAATGTTCATTAATATGTACTGTCCCTTTACAAATAAATAAAATAAGAAAATAAGAAATAAGAAATTGTCTTCAGAACCAAAATTCTAAGTAAAAAAGCAGTCATCATGTCAGTGTTTTTCTGACTAAGAATAAGTTAACACCACAGTTATCAGAAAAGTCAATATTTGTTTTCTGTTGTTACTTTTATCTGGACACACTTGTCAGCGAGGGCTAAAGTTAAACTCAAGTTGAACATCTGTAAATAATAAGCCAATAACAGCACAGGGTGGATGGAAAATTTTTTTTACTGTCCTTAAACATAAGGCACAGTTCTTTTCATCATTAAGAGGTGAGATTTCTCATTCACATGACTTTTATTTTGTATGTAGTTTAAATAGTTCAGTGTAGTTTCAGTCTCGTTTGTACTTCACATTTAGCTTTAAGTGTTTCCAGTTTTGCACAGTTCAGAATAAAATATAAGTATTATCAGAGAAAAAAGGGCCCCTGGGGCTGAACCCTGCAGAGATATTAGGTGATGTACCACACAGACACATGAGTGCTGTCTGATCCTGTTGTAGTAAAAGTCATTTTCACAATAGAACAGGCCAAAGTGTGTTAAGTTATAGTGTTTGCTCTTCGCTCTGGTGATGCGGGCTCAGTTTGGGCTGTGGGGGAAACAGGAGAATGCATTCACAAAGTTGTATGTTTTCTTCAGACACTTCACATGAACGTGACATCTGCCCTGTCACTGGGACACTGTGTGATCAGAAAGTATTAACCATTATCACACGTAAAAGGCCTGAACAGAACCAAAAACAAGGTCCTGACATTAAAGTGAGAACCTAAAGAACTCGGACCGCTTAGGTCCAGGTGGATCTTGTTTTTTCCAGCTGGTTGCTCCTATGAATCTTCCACTGACCCAAACTTCAATTCAAGATAAAAATTATCCAGCCATGTGCCGTCAGACAATAGGCTGACCTTCACGGAGTTATTTTTTGCACAGCTTCAACTAAATATCAAGGAACAAATGCTTCTGGTACAAATGTTGGTAAAGAAACAAAGCGGGAAAACAGAGTACTGTAAATGTACGTAGCACGGTGGAGACGACCAATCACAAACATTATTGTCTGCATCACTTCCCGCTGCTGTCTGCGTTGTTTCAATGCATAGTTAGAAAATCAGAGGTGCACAATGGTCAACACAGACGATTTAAAGTCATCGACTGGTCTGACACCAGAAACACAAGAGCAAAAGTTCGGCACAGAGAGTGGAGATATGACACAGACCTGAAACTTTATGAGAGAAAAAAAGAGGGAAATTCATAGTTTTGATACTGTCAGTGAGAATGTTCAATTTGAATAATCTCAGAAATAAAAAAGAAGCATAAATGAAAAAGTGTGTCCAACCAACCTGTCATGGTGAAGACGCCCACCACCAGGCCGATGCCGCGGTTCCCCAGGAGAGTCATCTCGATTTCAGATGCTGCATTTTTCTTCTGTTCCCTTCTGGATTTCAAAGAAGCCCAGATACCCGTCCCAAGAACCAGCAGGTAGAAAATCACCATAGCAATCAGTCCAGGTATGTTCACCCCCATGATGAGAGACTGACTGAGTGACTGAGTGAGTGAAGAAGCAAGTGAAGGAGAGGGAGGAGAGAGGGAGGAGAGAGGGAGGACAAACACAACACTCTTGGTTTCTGTCACTTAAAGTGCATGTGACAGGTTCCACCACTCACTTCACTGAAACATCTTTTACATAAATTGTCTCTGCATTTTGGGTGGAGTTTTCTGTTTTGTTCATGACATTGGCAGAAGAATCTTGTTTTACAACTCAGCAGTACTTCCTGTATTTTTATACTTTTCTTCTCACCTTTTTTCCACAAACCGTTACTGAACTGATGTAAAACTATTTAGATAATGGTGTGCCAAGGGAAGATGGTGTTACTAAAGCTCCTGTGAGTCATTGTTAAACTGAGAGATGTATGTGGAGGATAAAATACTTAAATTCTCGTACAAACCTGTCATATGCACTTAAAGTTACTTTAAAGATACATGGAAAATATCAGGGAATGTACACTAGAACATTATAAACATGTGTTAAAGGAAAATAATATGGTGAAATGTGTTTCTTAATATATGACAGAAATTAATGAGTTGTGAATTGTCAATTAATGTGTGAACCTGTAGTGAGTCATTTCCTTCTGCTCCTGTCTGCTTCTGTCTGCTCCTGTCTGCTCCTGTAGTGGGCTTAGTCTTACATTATTTGTGCTGTTTGTGATTTTAAAGTGGTTGTTTTCTTTGTCTAATGTTTATGACACAAACAGACAGGTCCTTTATTGATCTTGAGGGAAATTCAAGTTTTGCTGCAGCAATATTTCCACTGTGCGTCTCTGTCCCTTTGTGTCTCTGTCAAAGGTCTCAGGTCACTTTAACAAAAGGACTGGTCCGGTAGGGTCAGCAGATTTGTGTCAGGGCAGTTTGAGGAGGGGAAGAGCCAAAAGTGTCCCTCCTCTGTGTCCTGCAATATTATTATTTTAGTTTGTGTTCAACCCAGTGACACAGTTCTAGAGGGAGGAAAAGCTACACATCTGCTCAACTCTCCCTGGCGTCTCAAAAAAGCTTTACATTTATGTAAATTCCTCCCAGTGTTCACCAGTTACAACATGAATGATTTCATATGAACGTTTGGCTCTCACATGTGCTGAAGACACAAGGTGACATGATGGTCACATGACACACTGAAACGTGGATTAGGTAGGCCAAACCTAACCTGCATTAAGAAGCCATTTAGTGGCAACAAATTGATTTTTTTAGGTATGTAAATAAAGAATGTAATGTGGCAACTGTACATAACTAAACAGAGTCCATCCATCCATTTTCTTCTGCTTATCCAGGGCCGGGTCGCAGGGGCAGCAGTCTAAGCAGGGACTCCCAGACTTCCTTCTAAACAGAGTAATATGACCAATTTCCAACACTGAAGTTTAAATAAGCAAATGAAGCAATGATGTTGTCAAATGTCAATAATGGGAGCCTATTAGAGGCCTATTATAAACTTATTATAGGCCTATTATAGTTTGACAATAAAGACACAAACATTTGAAGTGCAGTAGAGAAAAGCAGGGGGGAAACCAGAGGCACTTTAAATGTACATTCAAGAATATAGCCTACAATATAATCAGTAATAATATAAATATAAATCTGCATTCACTGGGTGTTCCATAAATAATAACAGATAATTTTGTTTTTTTGCAGAATCTATTAAAGATGGGGATTGTGAATACAATTAGCCTATCATCTGAAAGTGTTTCAGCCCATATATTTATTTATTTAGTTCCAGAAGCCCTCCCAGGAGCTGTGAGCAGGACACTCGCCTCTGACTCTGGAGGAGGGCTACACATTGATCTTTGGAGGAAGGATCCTGGGAATTGAGAAACACCCACAGTCTATGGGACCTTATTATTTTAATAGAGACATTTTTGGGACATGTTATACAAACATTATTTATTAATTTATTTTACATTTTTTGTTGTTATTTAAATATATATATATATATATATATATATATATATATATATATATATATATATATATATATATATATATATTTTTTTTTTTTTTTTTTTTTTTTTTTTTTTTTTTGTTTTCCATGCTATTTTAATAGATCCACATACAGAACAGTCACTTGAGCATCCATCAAAAGTTATGTTTCACTTTTTGTTATGTTTATATGTTTCACATATTTTAGATTTTGTATGAACAGACACTATATATATTAAAATAGCGTTGGTTTGGATGTTTTATTAGGAAAAAGTAAGATTTGTAATATAAATATAGCTGCAAGAGGCAATGATCGGCCCTCGCTCGTGCTTGCGCCGCGCCCCGCAAACGCCGCAGCCTGCAAACGCCGCACCTCACACGGACCCTAATAAGCCTAAACTTAAACCTTACCCTAATCGTAATTCTAACCATAGCCCCAACCCTAACCCTAAAAATCTTAATTTAACCCTGCAATTTTCAAAATTTGGCAAAAAAAAATATCCAAGATGGCGGACTTCCGGTTTGTAAAGGGGCGTGGTCACTATATACATTTTTGTTCTTATTGCCATGATGCATCTGGATACCAAATTTGGTTTGGCTACGCCAACGTTTGTGTCAGGACGTCCCATTGGCAAGGATACAATTTTGGCTTGTTGCCATGGCAACACAATGTAAACGGGATGTGAGCATCATTGAGTTTTTTAATCGAGACCATGTCACAAATGTGGGTGCCAAATGTTGTATATTTGTGACAAAAAAAACTTGATTTTTACATACAAATTTTCTAGGGGGCGCTATTGCACCCAGTTTTGTATTTTCTTACACCAATCTGTTCAGGGTCGGGGTGTGAACCCACGATTAAAATTTGAGTGAAATCAGCCAAAGTTTGTGCAAATTATCAGGCGTCGAAATTTGATGGTCACACCGTTTGATCTTTTAAAAAGCTTTTAACAAATTTTAATGTCGCACTTGTTTAGATGATACAGAATGATTCTGGTGAGTCTGGGTCAAACGCCTGAGGACGAGTTCGTTCAAATATGAGGCCAGGAATTTGTGCCTTCGTCACCAGGTCGCCCGATCAATCCAATATGGCCGACTTCCTGTTGGTTGCCGAGCAACCGTGTAATATACTTTTTTGTTCCTATTTCCATGATGCATCTGTGTACCAAATTTGGTTTGGCTACACCAAAGTTTTTGTCAGGCCTATTGGTGAGGGCAGATGTTTGGCCTGTCACCATGGCAAAACGATGGGGAAATGGCATGGGGTCGTCATTGACTTTTTTGATCGAGACCATGTCATGAATCTTTGTACCACATTTTATATGTCTACAACAAAGTAAATTTTGGCACTACCATGCAATTTCCCTAGGGGGCGCTATTGCGCCCATCTGAGATTTTCTTATATAAATCTGTTCAGGGTCGGGGTGTGAACCCGCGATTAAAATTTGAGTGAAATCGGCCAAAGTTTGTACCAGAATTTGTAGATTTTACCAGTGGAGAGTTTATGTCATCGCTATGGCAACGCCATAAAAAATATGACATGGGTGTCACTGACTTTTGGATCAAGATGCCAAAATGGAATTTTGTGCAAAATTTCAGAAATTTTTGAACAACTATTTGGGAACAAATGATTTTCTCACATATTAAATTTGTTTCAATGTATAGGGGGCGCTAATGCACCAAATTAATAATTTTCACATGAAGTAGCTTCAGGGCAGAGAGTTTAACAAATGTTTCAAATTTCATTGAAATCAGAGTTTGTTTGAGCAAATGGGAGCAATTTGTAAATGTCCAAAATTGTGTGCATTTTTTGTTGCTTCACTGCTCAGAGATCGTAAGACGTGTGTGAACAATTTGGATAAGTTTTGATGTTCCACGTCTTGAGATGATGTGGACCAAATTTGAGCTCGTTCGGGTGAACGCCCTCGGAGGAGTTTGTAAAAGCGTAGCCAACTTTAAGCCAATATTACTGCCCCCTAGTGGAGCGCACGGTGTTGGCGTAATAATATTTTTTCCTTGTCTTGACATGATCGACTTCTTTGTCAAATTTTATGATTGTACGTGCAAATTTTTTTGTGTGTCATTCGTATTCCCTAATGCATTTTTGAGTCGTTTGGTGGCGCTGACGAGCCATTTTATTTATTTTTGGAAAATGAAAATAGCCAAAAGTTAGAGAAGCACGAGTTTTACCAGATGGCAAAATTTCAGGACTTTTCGTCATTGTTCAGTGGGTGAAAAATTGGTGAGTTGGTTAGGAGAATAACCAACCGATACGAGAACAATGTTCCGCTATTTTTTGGCCGACAAACTATACATTTTCGGAAACCTCAGGCGCATTGCTACGTGATGGCGAGGGTCCCTGGTCACTACGGGCGAGTCACGTCGCGCCATTCCATTTTTCGGCCACTTGGAGCATCGCTTTGCGATACTAATAGGCCCTTCGACAGCCTCTGGCGCTCGGGCCTAACAAGTTCCACCAAACACATACAGCAGCTGTAGTTCGCCCTCAAGTGTCCGCTAACGTGTACTACATTTAACAGTTTACATCCAAAAAAATTTAATCAAATAATTTATGAATGTCGAAGACTGGAATAAATTGTATTTCGATATCTTTATTACCATGTTTTTTAAAAGAATAATAATAATAAACTTAATCTTAACCCCCCCCCCCCCCCTCCACAGGTCGCGTTTCCGCCGCAGATCGTGCAGACAGATGCTGCAGACACCAGAGCCGAACCTGATACGGACCAGAGACGCACTAAACCCCCGCTGCAGGCCGAACATTCACCGCCCGGTCTGACTCCTTTTCTCCTCTAAATGCTCGTGTAGCGTCGGCATGTTTCCCCCCGGTAAACCCGTCCCCCCCGGGCCTCCTCCGTTCAGCCTGGCGCACATGTTCTTCAGGCCGCCTCCCGGTGTCCCTCCGCCGGGGATGATGCCCGCCGGAGCCGTGGGGTCCGGGCCTGCTCATCCCTTTCCCCCGCCGCCGCTGCCTTTCAACCGGCCTCCTCCACCCACCGCCCCCGTGGCCCGAGTACGTACCGAACCAGACATTTTATACATTTTAATCAACGTCTTAGTAAAAGTTTAATTTGTCTTAAGCCAGTTTCGGCGCTAGCATCATCATTAGCATTAGCAGCGTTAGCATTAGTGAGCAGTCCCACTGCACATTTATACAAAACCACTCATTTGTTTCAGTTTCATACAACAAATGTCCCAGGTGTCCCTGTTTTGGACCAATTTGATCGTTGTCAAGAGTAAAGAGAGGCCTAAATTGTACTTTGTTTCGGTAAAATACAGAAAATCTGCTTTAAAATGACCAAAACACAAAGTAAACGTAACTGTACACGTTACCTGAAAACGGTCTCTGCATAACAATTTAATTATGCACTCGTTTCACAATTTTATTATTATCAACTACCAAAAAACTGGGGATGTTCCAGTTTTTAAAATTTGAAATTCTGGTCACACTACGTTAGTGGCTAATGTTTTTTTTTTTTCTAGTATTAATTGTATTTATAAAACAGAGAACATGTCTATGCTGTTATGAGGAGGTATGTTTTTGTGTAACCATGTCTTTATTTCACAGGATGACATTTACATATTTAAGAGGAACTTGCATAAATGTGAAGCTTTTGTGAGACACCAGTGAGAGTTGACCAGAGGTGTGGTTTTCCTCTCTAGAACTGTCACTGGGTCGAACACCGTTTAGAATAACACAAATTTAGCAAAATAGACAGGATTGAACTATTTCAGTTGTTTTGCTTCTTCTAGTCTCTTTATTTGAAGAATAAACTGCAGTCTGAAGAATAAAATGTTAAATCTTGAGGTGTGATTCTGCAAAGGGTTCAATACTTTCTCACTCGGTTCTGAAACTGTTCCTCAGGCTGGTGCCGGTGCTGATGCCATGAAAACGAAGGTCTATCACAGATTGTTACTTCACATGAAACCACAGAGCTGTAACTTAACTGTTGGTTGGTAAAGTTGTTCAGTTTGCTCAAAATATATAATTTTGTGCCGTGTTATACATTTATTTCATTGCACATTGAGTTTTTATTTTAGTGGTTCTTGAACTCTGCTATTTGCACCAGAGTTCACATTTTTTGTCAGTTTAATAAGATATATGAATGAATTGGGAAAAAAACAAACCTAAATCTTGATGTTTATAATTCAAATACTTAACTCAAGACCTGCTCAACCAACATGAACTTGTTCTTGTATTTAATGTTTTTTTTCTGGTAAAACAAAATAAACAGTATAATGTAACTATTATAAAATACAAATTAAATAAATAATATATTATAACTTGGCATAAGAAACTACTAAAGGTACAACAAGGTGCGACGAGGTGCGATCGTACTTTGCGGTCGGTCAAGATGCGCGGATGGCGGTTACAGCTGAGGACTCTGCAGTTAACCCGCGGGTCGGGTGGATGTGACAAAAAATTATATTTTAATTAAATTCGGGCGGGTGTCAGTTTTAGTCCGCTTTCCTTTCTTTCAGTATACATTGAGTAATAATGTGTTTAATGCAGTTTTGCACTTTTGTTTATATTTTACAGAAATGAAACTTGGCAGGTCACACGCATAGACCGTATATATGAATGGACATATATTCTAGCCGCCTATCATTTTGCCGGTGAATTACTTTACGGCGCATAGACTGCGATGAGTCGACGCAGAATTAAACTTCACTCTTAGTTGCTCAAATAAAAAACTTGGAACTCGGCGTTCCATCGGCGGATGGCGGACGAGTGCGGTTTTGAAAATTGGTTAAAAACCTTGGATACAAATCGATAGCGGGCACATGATGATTTTTGTGATACGGTTGAGGATGAAAAAAATTTAGCCTGAGTAAAACTGAAGGAAAACTAGAGCAACAAGTAACGGTACTAAAAGTGAGAACATTCAGATGTACTGGAAGCTAAAGAAAGATTGAGTATGTTTTTATTCAACAGCAGTCTCTGTTTATTAGCACCATTTATATTTTTTCTTCTTCTTATTCAGTTATATTGTGATAAGGGATGCAATGATATTCAATATAATATTGAATAGTTTGATTCTGGTGTCAGGATTCGATACACGTGTCTCTCCAGGCCTCTGGTTCTCATTTATTTTGGTCCAAAAGTTAAACGGTTCTGTTGGCGTCGTCCTCAGATGCAGCAGAAAACTGCTCCATAGGGACTTAACAGCTGAAATATTCTAACAGAGGAAGGTTTGATCTTTCACTCACTTTTTTACCTCAGATCATCATTAAAAAAGGAAAAGTCTGATAACATAGCTCCCCTACAGTTTATATTAAAAACAGACTGGTTTATTATAAAATATAAAACAGCCTGAGAAACACTTCTTATTTTCACTGAATAAAAATTCTGAGCTGTAAATCACTGAACCAAATGAACTAAAACACTTCACATATAAACTACAACTTTACATACAAGAGATTACAGCATAACTGCTGTAATTTAATGTTTGATTAATATTTTATTAGTTTTTTTTTATTTCACGTATTTATTTTGGGCAAGTCAGGATTTTCATTCTCAATATTAGGGACAGGCATTCGATGAAATTTTCTTAATCGATCGTCGGAAGAATTAATGATCGATTATCGATTAATCATTAACATTTTTATAAATTATATAAATAAAATGATCATCGTTATTATTACTATCTGCACTAATCTGCATAAATAAATTCAACTTTACGACATATAAACATAACGACTCTAGATCCACATCAGCTGTTTGACATTATAATGTGTTTAATTCAGTTTTGTTCAAATCTCACAGAAACAAAACTTAAAACCACATCACTAATTTACATAAACTAAGTGAAGATAAAACTCCAGCTCTTGTGTCGCTGATGTGGTCAATTTCTGTCAGATTAAAAGACATGATTCAGGTGAATACAGGTCAGTGTGACCAGATTTGTGTTTGTCAAAACCAGGACAGCGTACGGGGGGAGGGGGGCGGGGCCTCGTCATCCACATTGAGCGACTCTCACCTGGAAAAACTTTTTCCCACTGGACACAGAAACATATGTGCTGCTTTATCCACTGTGCACATGGACTCACACTTGTCCCAACGCAACGGAAAGTGTGGAATTTCTTGTACAAATCCTGGTTAAATCCACATTTGTGCTTCGGTTCGTTACAGACTGACCCACTGTTTGTGTCTCGCTCCTTCTGATGCAGAGACACATGTACACACCTGTTTGGTCACGACTCACACAGCAACCTACATTCGGTTTGACGATTAAAATTAACGTAATCGATGAAATTCTTAATGATCAATTATCGATTAATCATGCCCATCCCTACTCAATATCATAGTGTTATTATACGTATTAGCAGAAAAAAATTACATGAGATTTTTTTTCTATGTCTTAAAATGTATCGAATCGATATCGTGACCCTGTATCGAGATTTGTATCGAATCATGGGACAACTGTATCGTTGCATCCCTGATTGTGATGTGTGAGCTACTGTGTCCAACTCATTTCTCTTGTGGATCAGTAAAGTCTAAATCTGAAATTGACAACTTGGACTGCCAGGATTTATGCCTTTTTATAAATGGAGCTGCAGCCTTTTTTTTGCAGTGGACAGTATTGGGAGTAACGCGTTATAAAAGTAACGAATTACTGTAATGCGTAGCTTTTTGTGGTAACACAGTAATGTGACATTACAGGGGGAAAAAATGTAATATTTTACTCGGTACAAATGTCTGTAACGCACATTACAATGTTTTTTTTACCTGGATTGAAGTGGTGGGTTTTTCATTTTTCTTTATATAAATTCGCTAAAATCATTGCAATATCAGCAGCAGTGAAACGCCGGAGACACGCCCGCGTAGACTGTCAGGTGACCAAGAGCAGACTGATGCAGAACTCCGCTCTATTTAGACCTGGTTCAGTCCTGGGTTAGACCTAGTTTAGTCCTACTTAAGTCCTGGTTTAGCTCTGGTTTAGTCCTGGTTTAGACCTAGTTTGGTCCTAGTTCAGTCCATATATGGTGCAAAAGTTCAGCATCTTCACAGTTAGAGTGAGTGTAACTTAAAAGTGTAATAGTCATGTAATGTTTTACATTTTAAATACAGTAATATTCTAATGTAACAAATTACTTAGAAATGACAGTAACAATTCATAAATAACACATTACAGTTTTGAAGTAACTTGCCCAAAAGGGGCAGTGGACTAGTAGAAATAATTTGTTGGGATGCAGTGATCTGATGCTGGTATCGAATATCGGCACCAATATTGAAAAAAATAGCTGGATCGGCGCCAGATGACGGCTCCAGTTGGACATACTGTATGAATTGATGTAATGAGACTTTACTGGTCGTAGTAGAGTTTGAAAAACTCTTTCCATTTTTACAGGTCTGTCCTGTCGTTAGTTTAGGGATAAATAACGGCTCCACCATCACACTTTTGGATCAGTTTTGTCCTATTTTTGGTTTAAGTGAATAAATGCAATTTTCAGTCTCGGCACTGGTATCTATTTATTGCATATCAGCAGTTTCTTAAACTCATAGTATCAGAATCGTTATCAGAACTGTGGGGAAAAAACGGGAACAGTGCATCTAATAATTTGAAAGAAATAAGAATACACACAATTTTATTTTTGTATCATTTCGATTTATTAACTGCTCTGCAAATGATGCAAAACAAGTTACATGTACAAAATGTTTAATTTATTATAAAAAGTTTCACCGGTGTGAGCGATATAATGGAGTAAATTTTGTCATTTGTTCTATTTCTGTGGATTTGAAGCATTTTTCCTTCTCTGCATTTCCTCTGCTCGGTAAGTTTGCATTTCATATAACAATGCTATTTGTTATGCCTTTGCCAATAATGTTTTAAAATGAATCAAACTGCAGTATTTTGTCGTAAAGTTGCACTACATAACTTTTCTGGTGGAGTGTCCGTCACCCGCTTGTCTCCATGGAGATGGTTTTGCCTTGAATGTTCCACAGTAAAGGCTGGTTTATGGTAGACTGATTCATCAGTCGGTTTCACTCGCAGCATTAGGATTCGTTCA